GCCCTAACATGGCTACATCTTTGAATTCTACCTCTTTGAGACATAAGTGAAAGAATGAATTTTTGGGAATAAAAAACAGCATGATTTTGCCACCTTATTCATGGGATAATTGCACATTAATGATGGTGTCGTGTGAAAAACATTTATCCCTATTCATGGGATAATTGTGCAATAAGGACAACGTCACTAGACGTCATTTGAAAAACATCATATTAATGCACAATATTTACAGGATTTTGATGGGAGCATAGCGTTAATATCTCGTTCTGGATTTTGCAAGGTATTTTGACGGGGCAAATTGATGCTATTGCTTCATAGCAGTTTTTATTTAGACTTACTTTTTAACACACACACCTATGTGTGCGCGCACACACACACATGTCCATTCATAATAGTTACTTTGCTTCCTCTTATGGGCTGTTTGCACAGGTGTCAGTTGAAGAAGGCAGCTGTGGGAAGGATTACTGAGCCAAGACATAAAAACTATTAAATTCCAGCAGCACCTGTTGCTGGAAAAGATGCGTACGCACTGCGACAGTGTACTCATTTTGGCTTGGCTGTGTCACAAGAAAGATGATAGGGATCAACTGCTTTTTTAACCTGTCTTCTGTTACTCTTCCTTCCCTGACTTCCTTAGCCAGGTGGAAAATAGAACCCAACACACTACAAGAAGCAGCAAAACTGGAGGCTTGGCAAAAGCGGTGTGGAAGAGCACCTTTTGAGGGACTCCAGGGCTGTATCCAAACTGCAGAATTAATGCAGGTTGACACTGCTTTAACTGCCGTGGCTCAAGGCTATGGAATGCTGGGATCTGTAGTTTTGTGAGCTATTTAACCTTCTCTGTTAGAGAGTTTTGTGCCATTTGTTGTGTTCCTTCAAGTCATTTCCAACTTATGGCAACCGTAAGGCGAACCTATCATGGGGTTTTCTTGGCAACTTTCTTCAGAGTGGGGGTTACCCTTACCTTCCTATGAGGCTGAGAGAGTGTGACTTGCCCAAAGTCACCTAGTGGGTCTACATGATCAAACCAGAATTCAAGCCCTGGTCTCCAGAGTCCTAGTCCAACACTCAAAGCATTACAGCATGCTATGACAAAACAAAGCAGTGTCAAAATTGCATCAGTTCCGCAGTGCAGATGCCACTTCGGTTGCATGTGAAGCAAACATTTAAAAGGCAAAATTCCACCCCAGCCTTTCTGTTACTGCATCCCAACACTAGGAAAAGTTTCAGCTAGTGTTGCCTATATTCCTCCCTGAACGCATGGAAACCCTGCCATGAGACAATTCTGCTGCTCCAGACTGATCTTCCCATCGCTGATAAAGATTAGCACATTCTTTAGGGGAAATTCACCCAACAGCTAGCTAACCGCATCAGGGTTTAGCACATTTAACCTCTTGGTGTTGAGGAAAGTCTGGAGCATGTTTTGGGTACATCAAAGGCATGGATGGGGGAGGAAGGCTGGTTGAATAATCCTCAACCTTCCCCGAATGAGGTCAAGCAAACCCAAAAAATCACAGCTTTCCTACAGAGAGGGAGGCTGAATCACTGCCGGTTTGGGAAATGCATTTGATTCTCACCCTGCCTTGACAAAAAGGAGGTTTAATAAAGTTAACACTGGCTGCAAAAAGGAAGTCAGTGCCCCAATGGGGATGAGATTATACAAATTCGTAAAGATACAACAAGAGAGAGATTGGGATCTCAAAGACCAAGATCTCAAAGAAGTGGGTATCACTCCATTTTGCAGGTTAAAAATAAAAAAATAAAAATCCATCATCAGACAATAACTTTTCTGAGACAGGCCACCAGCAAGCAAGCAAGCAAGCTTATGAGTTCTCAAGAACGCTTCATCAGTCTGAAAGCTTTCGAGTGTTCAAAAACTGAAAAGCTTGTTGCTTGCAAGGTGACTTTTGGATTGTTTCTCGATCGCTTGCAAAGAAGCTGCATATTGTAGTGCTTTGAGTGTTGAACTAGGGGGGCAGCTACACTGTCAAAATAATGCAGTTTGACAGCACTTTAAGTACTCAAGCGCCATCCCATGGAATCCTGGGATCTGTAGTTTTGCAAGGTCTTTAGCCTTCTCTGCCAAAGGCACAAAACTATAAATATCAGGACTCTGTAGGATGGAGCTATGGTCGTTAAAGTGGTGTCCAACTGCATTATTTCAACAATTTAGATGGACCTGGACTCCAGGAGACCAGGGTTCAAATCCCCATTCAGCCATGAAAACCTATTGGATGACCACAGGCAAGTCACACTCTCTCAGCCTCAGAGGTGAATATATCTTGTTAAGAAAACCCATGTTAATTAGAATCAAACTAAAGATATATGACTACAAATGCTGTTGTTGCTGTTTGCCATCCAGTTGACTTTGACTGATGATGACCCTATAAATGAGAGATCTCCAAGATCATCCATTGTTCTGCTCAGGTCTTGCAAACTCAGGGCAAACTTCACTAACTCAACCTCTAGCAAAGTTTCTTTCTTTTCTCACTGCACCCCCCCCCCCGGGTGCATCTACACTGTTGAAATAATGCAGTTTGACATTACTTTAAGTGCCATGGCTCTAATCCCAAGATTCGCAGAGAAGGCCAAGGACCTTGTAAAACTACAAATCCCAGGATTCCATATGATGGAACTACAGTATGTAAAGTGGTGTCAAACTGCATTATTTCTACAGTGTAGATGACTCATTGGAAAAAAAAAACAATAATGCTAGGAAAGGTGGAGGGAAGTAAGAAGAGAGGAAGGCGACATGCTAGATGGATGGACTCTATGAAGGAGGTCATGGGTACGAATTTGCAGGACCTAAGCTGAACAGTGGAGGACAGGGAGCCTTGGAGATGTCTCCTCCAGTAACAACAACAAAAGGTGCACCGTCACTTTACCAAGCAGTAAAGTTCTGAGAAAAGGTGGGGATAGTAGATTTAACTGAATCATCTGTTATACTTAAGAGAGAAAATAGGTTATGAAAGGCAAGATGCAACAACATGCAACAACAACACAGGTGGGATAGTACAACATACAGCGACAACAGGCTGGGAACGCATAAAATGTGGGATTCACCTGGAAAGAAAATTCGACAGCAAATACAATCACAGCTTTTCATCTCACTAATTGTTTCTAGCCTTGCAGGGAACAGAGAGATTACGGCTCTTGTTCCCTTTGCTTCACCATCAGAGCAAAAAGAAAGAAAGAAAGAAAGAAAGAAAGAAAGAAAAGAAAAGAAAGAAAGAGATTTCTTAATCAGAAAGCATTCCTCTAATACTTCCTTGTGCTAATTAGCTAAGACAAGTTCTAAAGGGGATTTCACAGAATGGTTGGTTTTGTCTTTTCTGGATCAAGAGGAATGCTGCTTTCGTCAGAAAACAGACCACCCGCTTTCTTTATACAATCATTCCAGGCAGTCTGAACAACAGCTGAATTTTAAAAAGCTATTGTTTGGCAAAAAAAAAAAAGAAAGAAAGAAAGAAAGAAAGAAAGAAAGAAAGAAAAAGGCAGAGGTTTTATACAGTAAATTTGTCATGTGTCGCTTTGCAAGAAAGAGACTCTCTGGACAACCCTGTACATGTTTTCTCAAAAGTAAGTCCCATGGAGTTGAAGAGGGTGGCTAGGCAGATAGATCAATGGAAGAAGCTCAATGGGTTTGATCAATGGCCAGGCCAAAATTGATCAGAAAGAGACACACAAAAGACAGGCTTGGGAAAACAGAACGTTACCTTGTCGGGTTTTCCAACAGCAGAGCTGGTTGCCTTTAAACAAATAAATAAATCCCCACACTGAAAGCAAAGCTAAACTCTCCACAGCAGGTAGTCACAAAAATCTTGATTTGCTTTTCTTTTTGTTAAAGGCCAGGCTCCAGAGGGTTCAAAGAGATGTCCAGCAGACATCTGTGGCTTGAACCCTAATGTTTTCCCTTCCTCGGAGGTTCCTGGGTAGTGTGTTATCCCAAAAGCCAACTGTCTGGGGCGGAGAGGTAAGGGAACTCTTTCCATGCCAGCTGCCCTAATCTGATCAGAGGAACCCAACCGAGAGAGACACAAGCCAGCCGTGCAAACTTAAAGGCAAAGTTCAGGTCGCTGTGGAGTGGGGGAATCTCTTCCTACAAGCCGAAGAACTTTATCCCCTCTGCAGTTACAAGGGCTCGGCTTGGGGCCAGGCCTAGGGCTGAGAAAATTCTGGCTGAATGGGCTACTAGGTGACTATTGCTCCATCCACCATGGGTTTGGAGAAGGAACACACCCTTCGTCCTGCCGTGCCCAAATGTTTCCTCCATTCCTCTGCTGAATTCCTCTGCTGCGTCAATGCATTGTGTCTTAAACCACATGGACAATTCTGAGCACTGCAGGGAAGCAATGTTTCCATCATATTTCTTCTAACTCCATGGCTCACAGGGCCCCCAGAGGCTTTGGGCATCAGTTCCTAGAAGCCTTGGCCATGAGTGCATCTACATTGTAGAAATAATGCACTTTGACACCACTTTAACAGCCAAGGCTCCAGCCTACAGAATCCTGGGATTTGCCATTTTGTGAGGCACCAGCACTCTTTGGTGGAGAAGACTAACCACCTTGTAGAACTACAAATCCTGGGATTCCATAGGATGGAGTTACAGCACTTGAAAGTGGTGTCCAACTGCATTATTTCTACAGTATAGATGCGCTACCTGTTATCTGGGGGCTTCTGGGATCTGAAGTCCAACATTCCTGGAGGATCAATGAGAATGGCTCCACTTTCTGGAGATGTTAAATGCTTGCTCACCCTTGTGGAACCTTGGATGGCCTTAATAAATTGGTTTCCCCACCTGTTCATTTTGAACTTTATTTTACTCTCATGGAACTACATGGTTGTTGTTTTATGCCTTCAAGTCATTTCTGACTTATGGCAGCCCCAAGGTGACCCTATCATGAGGTTTTCTTGGCAAGAGTTGTTCAGAGGAGGTTTGCTATTGCCTTCTCTTGAGGCTGAGAGTGTGTGATTTGCCCAAGGTCACTGATTGCATTTCATGACCGAGCTGGGAATCGAACCCTGGTCTCCAGAGTTGCAGTCCAACAGTCAAAACACTGTGCCACACTGGTAAATGGTTACCTTAGGATTTTTTCTGTTTAAATCCAATTGGTTTCAGTATGTCCATTGACTAAGCCTGGGTTCTACTCCTGTCACTTTCACCCAGCCCTATTTCAAGCATAAGCCATGTGAATTGTGTTTACACATGGCTTATTTTCTGGGCATGGCAGGCATTGTTTGCTGGCAAGGAGGACAAGCAACACTTTTGCCTTGTGTTGTTACCAAGGCTCATTTGCAAACAAACGGATAAGAAGAAGCCAGGCTTCTTTTTGCATTTCTTCACCTGTCTCCAATACAATTGAGGGGAAGTATCTTTCTTTTTGCAACTTGGTCTGCAGAATCCTCTTGCTTATTGTAAGAAAAGCTTGCATTTGCCTCCAACGTTGCACCCCAACATGAACTGAGATTCTTGGTTTTGATTTTGTTGCTCAGCTGAGAACATTTGTGAATGTGCTAATGGTAGAAAGCAGCATTATACAGATGGAGAAGGACATCAGGCATTTGCAGGCCAGTCTCAGGCTATAGACAAGGTGTATTTGAGATATCTTTCTCTGCTGTGTTGTATCAGCCTTTGTGGATGACAACCGCTCTGCATTTCACAATCCTTCCATGATGGTGCAATCCATATCACCAATGCATGGACACTTCCTTAGAAGATGGAGCAGTGCTGTTCACAGCATACAGCAAACAAATTGCTAACTATTTGTCCATATTGTACTTTGCTATTTCCTTCTACTACATGTTTCTGCAAGCCATGGCTGGCAAACCCAGGGAGCCTCGTGTCCCCATGACTTTGCAGAAGTCACGGTTGAAGGCGGAGGAAAAGATCTTGGATTTTGACTTTGAGTTGACAAGCGTACAGTTCAATGAGATGGGAAGGTATGCCCTGAGGCTCACCGTGGAAAATCCACTGTTGGAGGGATCAGGAGCTGGGGTGCAACTCCTGGTGAATGAAGGTGAACCCCTTTATACCAGCACTGCCACCACTGATGTGGTTGAGCAGAGCAACCTGAATGAAGTCTACACTTTTGAGAAAAGGAGATTCCTCTTCATCCTACCCAAAGGTAAGGAGAAGGATACTAACAGAGAAGAGGCTGGAAACGTTCCCATTTTTGGATTGCATTTCCTAGAATCTTCCAGCAGGTCATGTTGGTTAGGGGACTCTGGAAGTTGTAGTCTAAACAAGAGACTTCAGGCTCTTGAAAAAAAGCAGGGTCAGAACAGGTTCTAGGCTTTTTCCTAACAGAAAGAAATAATTAGGCCTTGCTGTGAAAAATATATGTCCCATTATGAGTGTAATTGATATCTGTTGAGATGCTTATGGTTATAATGGGTGCTGTTGGGATTTAACAGTATGCAAGGAGATTAACTCTTGAATGCCTGTGCATTCACAGATGTCTGTTAAGTGATGTGTAGTGCCTGAACAGATGAGGTTGTATTCTTCGATGGATAGATGGTTATGGATATGATATGAGTATGATACAAGGGATAGAATTCTGCACATATGAAAATCATTATGAAATGTCCATGTAATGCCTTAATAGACTCTATTGAAAGTATGAAGGAACCTGATGATGATAATGGATAGATGAGTACGTTATATGCTTTAAGAAGGGCAATGTTTCTCTAGGTGTTAACTATTACAAAGCCTGTCCTTATGAAAAGATCCTTATGAAAGCGCAACATCCTAATGGCCATATAATGTAATGAAATGAATGTATGATGCTGTATGTGAAATGAAATGTGATGAGATGCAGACATTGCCCCATCTGTGTTCCTCCCTAAGGAGAACGTATATGTTTGTATATCTATAAATGTGTATAATTGCCTAAAAGACTGCTAAGCAACCTGCTCATTTCCTGTGTAAATATCCTGAGATTCCTAGACTTAAGAATGATTAAGGAGAGTATTGATATTAACTCATCCTGTCTGGGTTTAACCATAATCACAACTGGATACTCAGGTGGCCAGAAAGTGATAAGAGAATCCCAAACAGAATCCAGATTAGCTGATGAACACGTACCCCTTTCCTGACCCTCTTATGGTCCTAATCCAGACCTCTGGACTTCCACAGGTGGCTATGCCCCCACCATCATAACACCATTGTTGTGTTGTTAGGCTCTAATTTCCATGATCTCTAACCAACATGTCCAATAGCAAGAGATGATGGTGTCCCTGCTCCCCTACCTCTGCTGCAAGTGAATTTCTCTGGGAGATTTTCAATGTACATATAATATAGCTTTTCTGCATGCATCAGATTTGGAATTGGGTATGAGGCTTAGAGAAGGAGCGTTCCCTTCATTTTATCAGCTACTTACTAATTGGGTTTTCTTTTTTGAAAAAACAAACAGGTTTTTGCAAGAATGACAAAAACCACGATGCCCGTCTGCGAATTGAAGCCTTGCGTCTCCATGGTTCTTCCCTGAAGAGCAGCATCAAGACTGGAGAGGCATTCTTTGCCATTTACCCCCGAACCAACCAACCACGCATGAACCTCTTTGCTAGCAGAGATGAGGACGTGTACCGCTACAGCGACATCATGGTGCTGCTGCGGGTGGGCCCCGATGATCTGGCAATGCATTGTGGGAGGCTGGCCTACACCGTGTCATTCCATGAGCACCGACCCATCACACAGAGGAAGATACCCATAACTCCTCGCCGACTTTCACCTTTGCCTCCCACCAAGACAGAGGAAGTGCCTGGGAGAGCTGAAACCAGTTACCCATTTCTTTCCCAATTTCTGGGTGTCCCTCATCAGATCCATCCAGCCTCAACTCCAGAACCATCTACTTCGTTTTTGCTGAGCATGGAGTCCCACACACCAGAGGTAAAAACAAACAGAACAAAAATATATGTAGAGAGATGTTGTAGCACCTTTGAGACTAACTGAAAGAAAGGAGTTGACAGCATGAGCTTTCCTAGACTTCAGGCTACTTCCTTGGATTCATTTGAGAACAAAAATTTCATAGTGAAAGCCAGAGCTATTTGTGCTCTGAAGATTCATCTTTTGGGAAGGGTAAAAGGAATTATCCATGTGGCAAAGGATAATATTAGTTAGATCAACTCACCTTTATACCCTCCAACTGTCTTGTATGCAAAAGGATCTGGTAGTACCTTGGAGACTGAGAGAAAGAAAGAAATCGGCAGCATAAGCTTTGCTAGACATGTCTGCTTCCTCAATTGTATGTCAGGTCTATATGGGATGGTCCAGGCTCTGTATCAAGGGCAGGCTACCAGCCACAACTGGAGCTTTTTATCTGGACCTCCTCTTATTTTTCTTCATTGGAGGGTTCCCCCTCCAGATAGGATAGGACACCAGTCATTCTAGGGGAGACATTATTTCAACCATGGCAAAGGTGTCTAGCCAATTTTGGTTTTCCCAAGCATGTTTGTAGCTTTAAAGGAGTATCCAAAGATGTTGCATAGCTTCAGCATCTTTGAACTAACACCTAGAGCACATTCATTGCCCCACTGACATGGAGGTTGCCAACCACTACTAGTCTTCAGCCTAAATTTTAAAAGACTGGTCACTTTATGTCATGAAGAAGCATCCTACTAAAACTTACTCTCTTTCCTCTCACCAGTTGGTCATTGAACCACCTGATCTTCATCAAAAAGTTCCTCCAGCTGAAGTGGAAAATCCATCAGATGATGAAGATTTATCTCTGCCTTCCTCTTCCTCCTCCTCACCAGCTTTGCTGCGGCGATTGCCAAGTGATGCCAGTCTCCACTTCCCATCACCTGGAGATAGCCCTAAGTTGAATTTTGAAGATACATTTTCAAGAGTGCAGGTAAGTCAAATGCCTTCTCCTTCTGGTCATTCCCTCTTTGTAAAATGGCTTACGACAACAAACAGTTAAAAGCACTTACAAGGTTATAGGTAGAACATATACAGTGAAAGGTAATATTATTCTAGTGCAGTAATTAGTACAAACTGGATATACTTGTACAATGTAAATATGAAATGCTGGTGGAATAGAATCCAGGGGATTATACTGATGGGAAAATGAACATTTGTTCATAGAGCAACAGAAAACATAGACAAAAGCAATGAATTTTGGAACACTTTATATAATGTATGAACAAACATGAAGAACAGAAAGAGTTACCAAAGATGTGGATGGATAGTTTCTGAAAGCTGGGTTGAACACTACAGGTGTCCATTGTTGATATAATGCAGGTAGCAATTTGGGTCAAGTCTCTTGCCTGCCTGCTGATCTGATCAGATCTGCTTGTTTGCAAGTGAGCAAATCTGTCAGAATAGATTATCATTTCTTGAAGATGTCCTCCAAAACATATCAGTAACTCTGCAAAGGAGTAAGGGGGGCTGAGGAGAGAGAAACAGAGAAACGGCTCTCCAGTGGCTTGAACTATGGATGCATCTACTCTGTAGAAATAATGCAGTCTGATACCACTTTAAGTGCTGCAGCTCCATCCTATGGAATCATGGGAATTATAGTTTTGCAAGATTTTTAGCCTTCTGTGCTAAAGAGTGCTGGTGCCTCTTGTTGTTGTTAACTGCCCTCAAGTCAACCTAGACTCCTGGCAACCCTGTGGATGAAACATCTCCAAGCCCCCCTAACCTCCATTGCTTTGCTCAGCTCCTGCAAATTCATACCCATGACCTCCCTCATTGAATCTATCCATCTGGTATGTGGTCTTCCTCTCTCTTTTTACTTCCATCTACCTTTCCTAGCATTATTGTCTTTTCTAATGAGTCATGCCTTCTCATAACATCTTGGCTTCCAGGGAAGAGTTCAGGCTTGATCTGTTCAAGGACACATTTGTTCTGGTTCTGGCTGAGAATCCTCAATACACCTCCAAACTAGAAATCCCAGGATTCCATAGCATAGTGTTGGGAGTGTGAAAGAGACCTCAGTGAAATAAGCCTTTCCCATAAAACAGGGATGGGAATTGGGTGACCTTCCACATGTTGTTTGTTCCTAACTACCCTCAAGTTGGCTCCGACTCATGGCAACTCTGTGGATGAGACATCTCCAAGACCCTTGTC